ATACACATCGGAGAAGGACACTCAGTCACCTACTGAGACAGTTTTTCTTTCCACAGCGCCCAGATGAAAAAACAAAAAACCCCTTTCCAAGGAGACAAAAGCCATGGCAAGCGGTTGCACTCTCACCAAGGTTCAATATTGGGAGCAAAATAATTTGTGTGGAATGTTTTTTCCTTTAGTAATTTCAATCTTTTTCCCAATAAATTCCATATTGTATATATAAAAGAACACCCATACGTGTATCAGAAGACAATAAGATAACAAAAAAAAAACAAGATGATGATGGTGTGTTGAACAATTTGTTTTTCTACATATGGCAGCGATGGTGGTTGGCTAATTTATGTATTTCCCTCTTCAGCTTGGATGAAGCTTTTTTGTTCAGTCATTTCGGGGGTTAAGCACAGAGAGTATAAGACCGTAGGAACGATTTGACTATGAACCATTCTGATGATTGAACTGAAAGAAAGGAATAAAATAAGAAGAGGATTGATGGGTAAAAGATACTAGTAATATTCCTCATCATCATCAGCCCCGCCGAGCCCGGAGTCTTCATCATCTTCGCCTATGGCGTCCTCGTCATCCTCTTTAAGTTTGCCCGTTGCGCGCTTTCGGGGGTCGGCCGAAGCCTCTTGGTCCTCCGCACCTCCATGCACGGGGTCAGGAATCTTGGCCACAATGTCTTTCAGGAAGTCGAAAGCGGGAGTGACTTGGATGGCTTGTTTTCTGTCGCTCCAAGAGATTTCGGTAAGATGAGACAGGTGCATTGTGGAGAGAGCAAGAGAATCTAGACCCACAGATGATAGGCTTGAACTTTCCGCGAGCCGCGCTGCTGGGCTTCACAGACTGCAGCCTGTACCAGGGATTGCATGAACATCTCGACGGCTTTAGCTGAACAAGAGAAAACAGGAGACGCGTCAGTCAAGATTTTCCTCACACACATTGAGCTGGGGAAGCTTCGCGGTCATCATCAAGGGTCACCGGCCGAGTCACGAAGAACACGTCGATGTTGGGCGGAAACTCAAGGTAGAAGAAAGATTTTTTTTTTGGGGGGGGGGGGAGGAGGAGGAAGTGAACGTGCTGAGAGGGGGCTGTTACTTGGGAATTTGGTCGCATACAAACTAGTAATGGGGTTGCTTGGGCAACTTTACCTACATCTTCATCCGCCTGCATAATCTTCTTTATTCGAGCCTACTCTTTCGAAAAAGAAAAAAAAACAAGTGTGAGGGTAGAATAGTCATTGAAAAGAAGAAAACAAAAATGAGCAAAAGTTATTCTCGTGATCTTTCAGATGGCATAAATTTTTTCGGGAATGATTCTAAAAATAGGTTGTGAATATTTTTGATCTGCAGCAAAGCAGAGTGGCGAAAGTGAAGAGAGAGAGGGAAGACAAGAATAGAAGGGAAGGGAGCGAGAGCGGACGTACGACTGGGAAGCGAGAGGATCCACCTTTCTTCTTCATGGTTGGGTGTGGCAGGCGTGGAGGGTTTCTGAGTGTTCAAGGAGTGTGTGGTGATGACGGTAGCGGAGAAAGGAGAGAGATGCTGGTGGACTGATTAACTGGCTGTGTCTCGATCCGAGGGGGCTTGCCACCCGGGGGGACCAACCAACTGGGCTTAACATCCCCCGCTTCGGGGCTTCTGGGCCCCCTCTTTGATGAAATGTCCTTTTCTTTTATCATTTCTTGGGACATTAAACCTTTTTTTTATAACGGATGTGGATGCCTGGTGGAGCCTAAGTATTGACGTAGTGCCGTCAATCTCTCTTCCTAGAAGAGCTGATTCACAGAAAAATCTGTCTTCCTTGGAAGAAGTGGTGTTGATGTTGGACTAGGTGATATAAAATTCTAGACAAGAAGATTGTGGTACCAAAGAACATGCCAATTGGGTGGCAAGCGGAGTTCCCGGAGCGAATGAGTGAGTCAAACGAACCACGGTGCATGCACACGCCATCAACAAGCTTTGCAAACGACAATATGTAAATATATAAAACACTGATTTTATAATAGTAAGACTATTTAGTGAACATTTTTCTGCGGTCACTACCGCCTCGATCGCGTTCGGCAAGATAAGCTCGGTACGCTTCCTTCAGGTCATACTGACTGATGGGTCCAGACCCTCCTCTTCGTTTTTGTACTTCTAACGCTTTATGGTCACCATCAAAAACCAAGCAAAAGAAAAGACAGGGGTCAACTCATATTGCGTGAGTTGTTAGGGGAAGATCATCTTCAATACCTTGTTCTACCATGTGGCCCACAAATACTTTCGCAAAGCCTCTGATCACAATCGTCACCCTTTCAGTCACCGACTGCTGCAGGATGGTATTGGCCAGCTGTACACAGATGTCAACAGTTTGAGTTTTCTTCCCAATAATAATGATAATAATAATAAAAATAAAAATAGTTGGAGGTTACTTTGCGGATGTTAGCTTTAGCAAGGCCCGAGTTCCTGTACTCGCTGTATCGATCCATCTGTTGGGGATCGAAATGCTCGAGAAGCACCCTATGAGCGACATTCATTAGCCCAGGGCGAGGTTTCAAGGAGAAGTGCGAAGGAAAACTTCACTTGAGTTTATCTTTATTTAGTAGGTCCTCGCGCTTGCGAACGGTATAGTCATCGTCGTTGAGCTCCTTGCGATTATCCTCCTCCTCCTGATCGTTATCCAAATCGAGTTCGTCTTTATCAGGCTGGATGAGTTGGTTAGCAGGACTGGCGCTCTGTTCGTACTGGTGGAGTTGCTCATCGTCGCGATGTGGGTGAGGGTCCTTGAGGAGATGGGAGCTCTTCCTGCGCTTGGTTGGGTTGGGGTTAGCGGTATTGGTGGTCTTGGACTTCCTGCGTGCGGGTGCGGTGGGCAGGATAAGTGGATGGGATGGGTTCAGTGGGGAGTAGTACCCGGTTGTGGAGATGGGTGTCTCTGGTGCTGGGGAGTATCCCGGTGAGCCGGCGTTGTCGTTGGCCGAGTACGCGTTGTAGGCAGGTCGTTTACTCATGTTGGCTGCAGATTTTTCTTTATTTTGGCTGCTGCGGTGAGACAGTCGGCCGAATATCATCGGGTAATTGCTCAATAGTGCCGGATTTCGATGGGGATACCACGGTCCTCCTGTGTGCGCCTGGCTAGCTCAGTTGGTAGAGCATTCGACTCTTACGTAGGGTTTGCCACTCGACTCCGGCGAGAGTTCAAGTGATCGAATTGTCGTGGGTTCGAGCCCCACGTTGGGCGCTTCTTTTGCCTCGAGAAGAAAAGTGCAAGCATTGTAAAGCTTGACAATCTTTTTCTGCAGATCTATTTTTTTTTTCTCAAATAATACCTTTTTGTTGCGAGTGGCTTGAGAGTGTTGTGAGGAAGTCCCTTCTTTGAAGTGAATTTTTCTGTACTCTCAGAGCCGGGCATGTCTGCTGTCTTTGTAATAAGCAGTGTTTTAGCCCTCTGACCATGATGATCACATGGATAACAGTCAAGTGCTGTCCCATAATGATTGATGCCAACTTGAACCCACCACTTTTAGGTGAACCAATTGGACTCAAGCAATTCATGCATGATGCTTACAAGCATTGTGCATGCAAAGGTCATCAAATGACATGAGCAAAGAGATGCAATGGAGATTGCAGTGGCACAAAAACAATCAAAGAATCAATCCAATGAGCAAAGATAGATGAAGCTTGTCTCAGAGAAAAACTGAAGCTCAAAGACCAAAAACTCAAGCTGGCAGAGATGGAAACACAGATGAAGATCAAACAAGATGAAATGGATCAGGTGCAAGCTTGATTTGATTTCATGGGAAAACTGAAAGCACTTGGAACATCAAGATATCAAAAAGTTCATGGACCATCAGTTTGGGGGAAATTGTGGTGAGTGTCAGAATTTCAACCTGTTGTCCACTCACATCCTCATCAATAAATTATTCATCTTCTCATCCATCACATTTATGTGATGCTTCTATACTTCCATCAGTAAATTCTGATGCTCATCATCTTGTCCATTACCATTT